TGATGCTAAATGATGCTAAAGCTTAGAATCAGTGATAAATCTTGCTTGTCCGAACACCTAACCTTTATTCCTTGAAATTCATCTGGTGGCGACAATCAGCGCCAGAACTGCCACTGTTTGACAACACGAGTGTCTCAGTGCATCGCCTTGATCTGCAAGGTAATGTCGAAAAAGAGTACTGGCACTGATTCACTAGTGACAATGCGCTGCATTATGCAATTCTTTATTAAGTGAAAAAAATTCCTGTCCATCCTCCATTCATCACAAAAGCTTGGTTCTTGCCTAGATCGATAGAGAAATGTGTGGAGAATATTTACTACGAGAAAATATGTAAACATTTTTGTTCTTTTCTTCCGGTTATTGACTAATTAGTACTAATTAACGTTAATTTAGCCTACTCTACTAGCTTAAAGTCCCATTTGTAAAATAAGGACTCAACGAAAAATTTCAAGCAATACCTCATCTGATAGAGAATTTCACGAGCTACAATATAGGCTATCTTAGAAGTTTTAGAATTCATTTTTGGCTGCTGAGTAGGCCTTGTTTCTTTCTCCACTAAAGGGGGGTTTAAATCAACTATGAATTAAGTGTCTGCAAAATGCAGACGAACATCAGGTTAACTTTTGGACACAGAAATGAAAAAGGCCTCGAAAAATTTTCAATTCAGTATATTGGTAATTCGTATTTTGATAGTAACAACAGCGAAAATATATTCTTTATTTTATATTCAGCCCCAAGGGGGACAAGGCGACTTTTTCTTTCTTAGCATCGGAAAGCATCCCTCAGCATCGGAGAGCATCGGACAGCATCGCATCAGCATCGGACAGCATCGCACAGCTTTTCATGTTTAAACTTTTCATTTTTAAAAAAAGCTTCTATTCCCCCAAACAGAACAATCCCGTTCTTTTATTGGAAAATTTTTCCTGATAACGGAACAGTTGTGTTCTGTTCTGTGAATTCTATTCCCATAGACAGAACCTTTTTGTTCTGTTTGCGGGAAATTTTGGCGCATCGCGTAGCATGGTAGAGCTTCTGACAGCATCTCTTAGCATTGGAAAGATCCGCATAGCATCGGAGAGCATTGGAAAACTCCGTATAGCATCACAAAGCATCGCACAATATCGTATAGCATCACAAGCTCCGGAAAGCATTTCAACGGCTCCGGAAAGCTCCCGGAGCCGCCTTTTCCCCCTTGTTCAGCCCCCGAAGAATTTTTCCCCGAAAAATCCACGAAGAAATGTTTCAAAAATCCATTAAAGTTGTGGCGTAGAAAACTGTTTTCTAACGAGGGAACGTTTTTCGGTGAACCCTTTCGATTTCGTTCGTTCATACGTCATTCGATGGAGTATATTGAGATAGGAGAAAGCCTAAAAGAGTTCGGGCCCGTGACTCTTTAAAGATCGGTTTTCTGGAAAACCAGTTTTTCGGAAACTCTGAAAAATAACCAAAACCTTTCTTAATGAAGCGTGTTTGTGGCCCACAAATATGTGATTAACCCGTTCATTTCCAAATTTTGGTTGAGTTAAATTTACTTATAAGTCGTGAACGACGCAAGATATTAATCTGTGGTTTTGGCACGTAGCAAAAGATAATGCGCTGTACAATTCCTTAGTTTCAATTTATGTAGAAATGTTTTATGTGTGTTTTAAAATCAATCCTGTACCCACAGATGTTTTAGTTATTAAGAAAAGATGGTTTTAGTGGAGAGATTGGATATATTTTTTCCTAGGAGGTTCTGAACGTTTCCGACGTCATATTCGTGTTCGCCAGAGCCATTTGCATCTAACCGTACCTACAGAATGTAAAAACATAGTGTGTCAAATATAGCTGGTTACTCGGTTACCAATTAACACACGTTAACAATAATACTCAGATTGTTGAAATGCTGTTTGTTAGTAAATCAAGTTTTGATTTAGCTAACCAATTTAAAAGAATATTTAATTACTGATGATAATCCTAAATTTAAATTATAAATTATTTATAGAATGCCTGGTACAATAAAATAATAATAATAGCAAATAATAAGAATATGGTTTGACGTATGCGTTTCGACTGACATGAACGAAAAAGAGCGAAGGAAGTATAACGTCACTCTGCACAGATAACAGTTATAATATATACATGTTATATATATATAGACTATATAATAACAGGTAAAAAGAGAAAACAATATTATATAAATAAGTTAATCGACTAAAAATTATAACCGTTTTGTTTCTCGATAATTTTATCTGTTTATCTGTCTTTTCTATAGCCATATGTTTGACAGCCATAGGTATCGATGCAACAGAAAAATTAGTCGATTCAGTATCAAATCGCCTGTATGTATGAAAGGATATTTCACTCGATATTGAGAAAACAGATTCAGTCCAAAATTCGGTGTTTATTCTTTTAGTTTTAGTGGTGTATGAATAATTTTTGACAATAAAAGATCCTTGCATTATGAATTTTTTTTGGTCACAGATCCATACAGAGCATCTCTATCCTTTTTTTAGGAAGAAATTGAAACTTATCGTTAGTGTGAAGACATGTATTTGGCTATTATGACGCACTTGTCAAATATTTATGTGATTGATATGGAGATATAGAGCGTATACCTTGAAGCACTGTGTTTAGGTCAAAAAAATAGGAAAGAGAATAACTTTTACAATGCTTAATCACTGAATGAGAACGTTGAAGGCTCACGACGAGCTGCTTTCCACGTCCAATATTCTGTTATACATGTTTGCTTAATAAGCATGAAAAGCCTGAAAAAGACCTGGGAAAAATGAATGGAAATTGTGTATGAAGTCCAGATGAGTAGAAGAAGCGAGAAAAAGAAAAATTTACTTACAGTAATTACATACATTTCTATTAATTATATAATAATTGCAAAGTTTCAAAAAGAAAAAGCAATAATAGAAATAGAAAAAGATAGTTGTTCATGTAGTCATATTCATTTGAATAAACCTTTTTCCACTTATGAATTAACCAAATACTTTTCTTCATACTATTGACAAGTTTCAATTTCTCCCTAAGAAAAGGATAGAGATGCTACGTATGGAACCGTGATAAAAGAAAAGTCATTTCCATATCGTCACCCTTTAGAAGGGTTCAGTAATTTGTACAAAATTACGAATACTTTTTCTTTTTGTTATGAATTTTTGATCGAAGTCTTAGTAGATTCTTACAAGAATTTGACAAAAAAAAGGAACCGGTTCATGTGAGCTCTGTTAAATAAGATTTTTCTATGAATCTTATAAAAAATTACAAATATTTCTTCTCTATGGTAAGCGATCTTTCATTACAAAATTTAGAAAATAGATTAAGAAATTGCTTTTGTTTGAGGAGCTTTTATACAGGTATCACTAAGGCTTCTGTTTATCAGATGTTATAAGTTACTAAGAGTTTACTTTCTTTTGTGATGTCCTTGCTTATGCAAAATAAATCTGAATTGAATTGAGGACGAGCTCTATGCGACAATGAAAAGTAATGCTTCTTCCTTTAAATAAAGTATAGAAGAATGGTACTATAAAACACAATGGTCTACTAATTAAAAATCCTACGTTAACATTACGTTAAATTAAAACTTTGGGATAATAAGTAGAATCGTACGTTTATATTGAATAACAATTTATGACAGATTTAAGAAAAGTAGAGCGATTCATCATTCAAATGGCATATAGAGTAGCTCTAGACGATGTACTATATTATTTAGAAATTCATTGTATAAGAACTTATGCGATGGTATTTGATACAACTCGATTAGAGCGTCTAATACAACAGTTTTTATCTTTATCACACTACGCAATCTCATATTTCCTTCAAATACTTTTCCACTTAAACGCCATCTTAAAATATTTTGATAGACTAATATGAAAACCAAAAATGTTTCAATTAATTCGAACCAATACCCCTAATTGAAAGATTAGTGGTTCTATGGTAAATTGAATAGCCATAACTAAATTTACCTTGTTATAGGTAGAAATCTTGTGAATAAATAGTTTTCACACCTGCATTTCCGAGAAGATATGTTTTTTATACTATACCTTTTATCGAAAATTTTTCTTGGCTTTACGATATATCAGTGGCTCAGATACCTTCATAGATTTTTTATGGTGAACCGAAAGACTTAGCGTTGTAAAAGGAAACAGCTATCTGCTCCAGCTAGAAGTGATGATATCTTCTTATCTTGAACCTAATAAACATGTATGCATTCAAAAACTCTTATTACATACAGGAATCTGTTATTTTATTTCATTTTTACTCCAAACAGGTTAATATTCATATATTTTTCACTTTGTGGCGTTGCCACTGGCTAACAAAAGTTGGTACAAAAGTCAGTTAGTTTTAGAACACAGAGGAAATCGGTGCAACTTGCGTGAAGGACTTCTACAGAAAAGTAAAGATTGGTAAAGTAATTATGCAAACTGAAGACTGTATCTTTTAAAAATTAAAACTTTTTTTAGGTTGGGCTCGGATGTTTCGTGACTGATCTTAGCACGGACGAAAAAAATTCTGCAATATATTCCATTCATATTTTTTAGTAAGTTCTAGGCTGAGTCTAATATAGACTGTTTTTTTTGGCTACGCCGCTATTTTTACCAGATAATTTTCTGAATTAAACACCCACTTGGCAATTGTCAACAACAAAAGCACCATTGGAAACGTTAATAGTCGTTTGACACCTGTTACCAATACTTTAGTAAACGTTTAGAAATTTATCTTTTTTTAAATTAAGAAAAAACAGGACACAATTTTTCGATATTTACTTGCATATGGTATCAATGAGTGACAAATCTACTCTTTCTCTTTTATTTTCTAGTTGAATTATAACATTTATTTATAAAACCCAGCAATGAAAAATCGATTTTTGGATTCAGTGAGCAGACTACCGTAAGCATTTCAATATTACTGATAGAATTCAGTTATATATGATGCGATTTTAGCTTTCATTAAAGAAGACGGATTCATGTCATTGTACACTAGTCTGCTGTTTTTATTTTCTATATAGACCAATCATGTCCTCTCGAGCAACCGGTATAGAGCCAGAAGAACAAAAAGATACTGTCACATCGGTAAGTCTTCCCAATATCTCTCAACACATTTAGAATTTGACCCATTTCATTTATACATAGCTGCCAAAACCATCTTCAATCAGGTAAGTACCTGAATATGTTAAATAGTACCTTTATTTTTCTCTTTTATTCAGACCTATCAGATTTGTGTGGCAGTATCTTGTAGTCGTTGGAACTATCATAGTAGCTGCTATCATTATCGCTATAGTAGCGTCAGCGGTCACCATACATGAGGGTAACCTGAGACAATAAATTCAAAGAAAAATTACACAAAAAACTTATTGTTTTAGTTAAAAAATACATTGATCGATCATCTTTTTTAAGAACAACAACGATTCGTTCATCTAATATTCAGAATACAACGAGTAAGAGAGAAAATTTGAAAATGTCAAAAGGAGAACCTCCATGTAGTATTCCAGTTCCATTCATTCTAACGAGGAAATCTTTCTGTTCCCTTCCGATTTCAATAATTTGTACCACAAAACCAGTTTTTCAAGAACTCTAAAAAATAACCGAAACCTTCTTTTAATGAGGTATGATTGTGGCCCGCAAATTTCTGATTAAAGTGAGACATTCTCCCAGTTCTACACGGCCCTTCATTGCAAAGTTATAGGATTTACACAAAAAGCCCTAAATGTTCATTGTCAGCTCAAAGCTACAGAAATAAGAAGAAATTAATTTAGGGCTTTTCTTGTAAATTCTATAACTTTGCAAAGAAAGATCGTGTAGAGCTGAGAGGCGTCTCATTTTGATTAAAATTTTGCGGGCTACAGTTATGAATCATAAAAGAAAAACGGTTTTGGTTATTGTTTTAGAATTTTTGAAAAACTGATTTTCCAGATTTCAAGAGTTATGGGCTTTTTAAGGTATTTACTACCTCACTGAGGTTTATCGATCCATGTACAAATAATTGGAATCGAAAGGGGACATCTCGAAAGGCTCCCTCATAAGGCCAATCGTAAACATAAGTTTTTTCCGTGTAGCAGAAAAGTGCTGATCTTATCAAAATGAAATCGAGATGTTATAACAGTAAAAATAAACGGATTAAATCTTAATCTTAAAGAAGAGATCTTAAAACATATTTAAATATGCTTTTCAATTCTGTTTGTACTTTTGTTTCAAACTGTAGCGTGATTGCGGTAGAATCAACATACAGTTTGAATAGATTGAATGCAATATATTCAATATTTCTGCATATTTACGTTTGCCATTACAGCATGAAAAAAGCAAAGGATGGGTTTTAGAAAATATTGTTATACCATTGAGAAAATTAATTTTTTTGAAAATTAAATATCGAAAAAATAAAATGCGGTCAAGTTTTGAATTTTCGGCACCTTATTTCACAGCAAATAAGTACTATTATTTGAAGAATTCGAGTGACTTTATTGTAATGACATTTTTTCTACATCAAATCGATTCAGGTTCAATAAGATCAGAAAGCACAACAATATCGATCGCTAATACGACAATGGTAATGACGACACCATCTCGTAAGTTTCATGAGCCATTGTGCTTACTAATTTATGAAAGTTTCATAATATAATGAATAATCTATCAGTGCACCTTTAAAGTACATTTTTGGACTCCTTTTGAAGGTCTGCCATCCCGCATATGTTCATCAGCAGTGTGGAATACCACTGGCATAACAGTTGCCGGATCCAATAATGGTACATCCGGATCGTCTTTAGCTCAGCTTAATTCTCCATACGATCTCGTTATTGATTATAATAATGTAATGTATATTTCTGATTTATCAAATAATCGTATTGTTCAATGGATCGAAAATAATACATCTGCAAATTTGATTATTGGGGGCAACAATGGATTAAATGAACCAGCTGGTTTATTCATGGATAATCAAAATAATTTATACGTTGCCGATACATTAAATTCACGAATTGAAAAGTATTCCCTGAATGATCCGATTGGTACAACTGTCTTTGGGCAATATGGAAGAGGCTCATCGTCAAATCAATTAGATCAAAGTTATGCGCTCTTCATAGATGTATTGAATAATTCGTACTATATATCAGACACACAAAATCATCGAATAATGTTGTGGACGTTAGACGCGTCAAATGGCATAATTGTAGCTGGTAAGAAGCTTTAATTCACTATCGTTTCATGAAATACAACTGACTCTTGTAGGAGGTAACGGTCGAGGTAATGGCGCCAATCAGCTGAATCAGCCATATGGTATTTGCATTGATTCTAACTCAACCATTTATATAGGTATGTTGTATAAAACGTTGATCATTATTCTAAAACAATAATTACGTATATCTAAATCTTTAGCGGATTGTGGGAATAATCGTGTACAACAGTGGTATAGAAACTTTCAAACAGGCAATACAGTCGCTAATGGTTTAATGTGCCCTACAGCCGTCGTACTTGACACAGTTGGAAACATGTATATTGTAGATCAAGGAAATCATCGTATACTACGGTGGATGATTGGTGCACAAAGCGGTGCAACACTTATCGGCACAACAGGTGTCTATGGCAGTCAGCCAAATCTTTTATATTATCCAAGTTCTATCAGATTTGATTTAAATTGGAACTTGTTTGTGGCGGACTATGAAAACAACAGAATACAACGGTTTAATCTAGTTAATGATGGATGCAATGGTAGGTCCAACTCCATGATGATTCTAGTTACTTCATGTCTGTTTCTGACTTTAGGTAATGGCATAGGTTAATGCATTAGCATCAAATACAATAAAGACATATTGGCAAAAAATAGTTATGTCCAATTTAGGTGGCTGTCACCATTTCGATGTACTATTAATAAAATAAAATTTTATCAGTGAATCTCGCTCTCAGAACCTAAGTAAAAGAGAAGACGAAAAAAATAGAAAATTGTAACGGACGTCAGTTATCGATAAGAGACGGCATCCGTTTTATTGAATCAAAATCTTGTAATTTTTCTGTAGAAGATAAGAAGATCTTATAATATATTTGTTAACCCGTACACCAAGTGATAATTAAAAATAAATTCGGATTATTGTGGATTAATCTAAAGAATGTAGTAACTCCTCAAGAGTGTATGTGACTGGTACGAGTTGAGCTTCATATATGAATGAAAGACTAGATATTTAACACAAGCAAGCAATTTACGCACATTACGAAGTCCAAAAATCTGCAAAACAAGATTTAAAGAACATGAACAGATCGAAACAGAAGCCACTAGATGTACACATGAAAGTATATGAGAAAAGATTTCAGGATACGGCACAGTTACTAGGGAGTTAGACACTATATAAATGTAATGAGAGAATGGTGGTGAGTTATTCTCATAGAATTGAGATCATACGGAACTCTGAGAAAGAGCGAATCAAGATTAAATGTTCTGAATGGAGTGAGAGCGTTTTTTTATGTTTGTCTTGAGACTTCATATTTCGCGTATTTTGGAAAAAAATGCACAGTAAAATCTTTTGCACCACAGTTAATAATTCTTGAAAACGAAAAGTGTTCCAATTTGATCTGGTCAGAAACTATTTTCGTAAAACACTCAGTCATGTCGTCGAGCTAGTTTACAGAGAGTTTAGCTAAAACGAACACAGACAACAGCGGCTCATCGACAAAGTTCACATAGGGAGAGATGAGCACACGACAGGACGTGCAGTCGTCCTGCTGTCCTGTTCTGCCGCTCAGCAGGACAGGTGATGGCTGAGCGGCAGGACAGGACGCACAAGTTGGTCCCGTATTTTTATATGATTCTTTTCTCTACAATTTTTGCATTGTCATTGGTTATACTTGATGTTTATTATGAGTGTGAATATGATGATGATGAAAACACTTTATTTTCGCGTCTTATTTTACATACATTTTTTTTCTATGATAGATGTATTATTGAAATAATAACTTATTGTGCTTTGTTTTCGTATTTATTGAGTTAACCATTATTCAAGAATAGAGTTGTGGTATATGAAAAAATTATGAAATAAATTGGTTATGAGATGACTAGTACGTTAATATATGCTTCGCTTAATCGAAAATTAAAGAAGTTATCATGTTTGTCCTTCTTGATGTCCTGTGCGGCAGGGTAGGGTAAGTCATTTTTCGTTTTGTCCTGCCGCTCGACAGGACGGAGGTCGACTGCAGGACAGGACAGAAAAAGTTGTCCTGTGATCGTCTCTGATGGGGACTGATTATTATAGTCTAAGTGCTTTTCATGTTCAAGTCAGAGCGGTCAAGAAACTTTGACATTTCGTACTTCTATTTGGATCTGACGATGAAAAGGATTAAAATATACCGATAAATAGCAGTGCATGTCTAAATTGTATAAACAGGTGACGAGAAATACAATTTAACTGAAAAATAGAATACTAGTTAGAATCAAATCAAACGATATTGGCATAGTACGTTGTAATAGAATCGAAATAATTTCAGTACGTTCAAAAGCTCCTTATGTAGCATTCGTCTCTTTTTCTTATCTCATCCGGTTAAGAGAGAACGTCGGATTGAATTGAGAATATTACAAGAAATAGAATATCACCAGAAGTCGATGTATTTTAGCTCAGAATTTTCTACAGGATTTTTTATGCTTTTTCTAGAAATCGAGCGTTTAAGATCCGCACCACATAACCGTAAGAATATATACATCTGATAAGGCTGAAAATTTTAGTATGAGTAGTTTGGACTAGTCTTAAAATTTATCTTTTTTAAACTTTTTCGCTTTTGACATTTGTTGATCATACATCTGCTAAATATGAACTATTATAATATAAATAGGAAATGTTTATGTAATTTTTAGCATGTTATTCAATTGCTTCAAGCATTATGATAGTTCGTTCAATTTCCTCATTATGCCACTTGTTACAGGCCATTCAGCTGTAACACTATTTATGTTCGTTTATTCATTATTTCCTGTCACATTAATTTAACACATATTATACAGTCACGTGTTTTTTTCTTTTCATTTCTTTATTCTACCCAGCGTTGGATAGTTAAGATCATCCTTAACTGAGCATTCCTGTTTCTGTTATTCCTTAAATATGTATAGGCAAAGCTATTAGAATTTGGATCATTCATCGTAGAATCAAAGTTTAGTATCGTTTCTCTTATTTTTTTATAATGTTTTCTTATATTTTTCCATTAAAAAAATAAAACATCCACGACCAAAGGAAGTTGGTTTGAGCAAACAATTTACAAGGAAACAACCTTGTAGTCCTTTCAATTCTGCATTTTTATAAATACAAACTATTCCTAATTTCTATTCGTGAAAGTAACTGTGATTACTTTTATAAGATGCACGTAAGGCAAAGATCGAGCAGAATTTACTTTTCTATATTTTACACACCATTCGATACAGAATCGCGCGCTGATCACGAATATGTGTTTCCGGCCTCTCAAAACCGTTTCCTCGCTGAGAAAATTGTAAAATACTAAGAAGAGAAAATACTAAGAAAAACTAACGAACTATCAAAAACCCGGTTTTTCACGAATTTTTTTAAATTTGAGTTTTTCAAAGTTTGACTACAACTTGGAACGTTCAGATCAACTCACGAGGGAAGGTCCCCAACTGTCCGATCGCTTTCGGGCCGAAACCTAGTGGACGATAGGTAGTCGACCATGCTGATTCCGAATATCAACATGAGACGTGCTGCTAGGCCTCCAGAGAGTGATTTTCTGGAAAACCAGTTTTTC